GACCGTGATGAAATCCTTTTCTTCGCCATGCAGATTTTTTGAAAAAAGATGACTCCAGCGGCATCCCACTCCCGCGTTCCATGAGTTTGGTTACATCTCGAAAGTTGTGGTATGAAAATGCCACATGTGATTTGAAGAAGCGGTCCTTGGTCCACCACTGATGGCCTATCCTTTTTTATCATATGCCGGAAGTTAGTGTGCTGATGTTTTTTTTTTTTGTGGCTGTCCCCCCTTCGATGTCATGTTCTACTATAATCCTAGTTAACAAACCATCTGCTGATGTTAAGAAATAAAACGAACAGTTGTTTGATCAACCAGAACTCATTTATTCTGTGTCCTTTTTAAGAACATTCATGTTTTTCTTCCAGCACTTTAGACATCCCAAGGTAAACCTGCAACAGGTATGTGAAACTCCATTACAAAGACATCTTGATTTTTATTGTGTTTTCTTCTATGTTTTATCTTTAAGGGTTATTGCTCACATCGCATAAATTTGATTGTTTTTTTAGTTTCGGCCAATCTTTTAAATTTTAACAACCCCTATTTTATAACACTAAGGAAACACAAAATTATGAAGACGAAAATAAGAAAATAAAGCAAGCATTTTATAAACTAAGTTTTGCCAGAAGAATAAAAATAAGAAAATGATTTCATTTTTATCAAACTTTATACGAAAAACGAAAGGCGTATCACGTTCGTAACAAACTTCAAAACACTGTCTGTGATTTTTCAATTCAGCTGTCTTTAGCGACGGCCTTTTTTGTGCCTTCAAATTAATATTCTAGCAACGAATACAGAAATTTAGAAATTTCAGCAATAACAAAACACAATAAAAACATGGATATAGCCGTATCGAATATTACCACACACCAGAAAAATCTGAATTCGGTCTAAAAACTCAAGGAAAATCATGAAAAGGTTTCAATTAAATGATAATCTTTAGAAAACAGAAAATAGAGGTTAGAAGAAACGAAAAATTTCAAATTAAATTTTCTTTTCTTACAATTACTAAACAATAAAGTAAAAATAAAATAAGTTCTGTTTAATAAAATATGTATAGTAGCAAAACTTAGAAAACAAATGTTTTGACACTTTTACTGACGTTTGAAGAAATACTGATACTGGTGTTTAAAGAAATACATACCTGCAACAGCCAGGGAGGTTAGGTCTCCATAATTTCTTGATTAATTTTAAAATAACGGTCAGAATTACGCCCCAAATTCCTTTACTTCCCAACTGAACATCGATCAGAAGAAGGGTGGACTTAGCTTCAAATCAAAATGGCAATTCAGTGCCTGACTCTATTGTTTAAAAGCTGCAATATAATGAGGACCCAATGACTTAAAAATAAACATTTATAAGGTATAAAAATTTGAGAAAAAAGATTAATAGTTCTATAAAATTAGACTTCTTCGAAAAAATTAATATCCAATTTTTTTTCCTCAGAAAGCTTTGTTTTGAAATATAAATAATACCTGAAAACTCCCTTACTCTCTTCCGTACGCTTTCCCCTTTTTTTTCTATGGAAATGTGGGTGATTAAAGGGGGGCAATTGAGTTTCTTCTAGACAAGCAAGTGAAGCATTGATTGTTGATTGTTTCCAATGTATTTTTTTACTCTGAATAGAAGAATCTGAATTTTTCAATGTGAGTAGGTTTATATGTTGTCACTTTCCTGTCTTCTTGAAATCATTAATAACGTAAACTTCAAAGATTTACCTGAGTTATTTCAAGAAATCCTGTTGTTTTCTGCGGAATGTAAACATCTCAGGCTTAAATGCTAATTTAAAGTAAATTTAAATGCTATATAATGGCAAATTATCATTATCCTGGTTGTCATTTTCCCGGTTTATGAATGCCAGGACATTGAAACAGTTACCAGAAAATTTTTTAAACAATTGAATGTAAGGAAAGAAAGCAAATATTAACCTAATACCAAGTTTATGTAAGATTGTAATATGCTTGAATGTAATCATAGTTATTTTTTTTAACTTAATGATTGATTATTATACACAGTTTTATTCTGTACATATCAACAACAAAAGCAATTTTGATTCTTTCTACAGTGATAAAAGAATTACTTTAAGCAATTCATTGTCCACCTAATGCAAAAGCTTAAGTTTAGTTACTTACTATTAGCTTAAAATGACTTTTGTTTAATCTCTAAGCTAATATGTCATTTTCCTGGCATTCAAAATTTGGTGAATTTCTATTTTATTTTTTTTTCTTGAGCAAATGTAAATAAGATATATTGCTGTCTGTAAGATATTAATAAATGTAACTAAATAACAAGAAACCGGAAGAAAAAAAACAATCCGAAAAAATAGACAAAATTCAAAAAAAAAAATTTAAAAAAACCGGAAAATAAAGGATATAATTTTTTTATCAACTAACACGATTACACAAAAAAAGAGTGCTTTCTAATGTTATATCAATATAGCCAAAGCAAAATATATCAATACAGTAGTGTGAGGAGCACTCAAGAAATTTTACAAAAAAATTACGACAAATAAAATAGAACACAATAAGTAAAAATATCACGTAAAAACAGAAAATAAAATATAAAGAAAAAACAGAATAAAACATGAAATGAAATCAAAAAAGCGAGTAGCGAAATCAAATGAACTTACATGAGCCGGAAATGTTTAAAAAATTATTCAATATATATATATATATATATATATATGCATNGATGGCAGTTAACTATGTATATATATATAGTCTACCTATTTACAAATCACTTAATATTTTATATTTAAAGCTTAGAGTTATTTCAGTTTGCAATTTTTGCGTGATTTCTTTTAATTAGTTACCTAACAAAAAAACTTATTATTGTTTATTTGTAATTTCAATTACTCTCATTGATTGTGTAAAAATATTTAAAAACAGCTGGCAGAGAATCAAAGTTGATGTCAGGCCTTAATTCCTACAAAAATAAAAAATACAGTTTTGTCAGTTTAAATACTCAATTGTTGTCATTAGTTTGGCGAAAACAAAATGAGAAATTCTGGGAAATACAGTAATCAAGAACATAACATATCTATAATTAATTAAAACATTCAGCATAAATCATAAAAGTATTGAAAAATGCCAATGTATCTCATGCTTTTGTGTGACTTTAAAAGTTTAAATTTTTTTTACTTTGTTGTTGCCTTGGATTCAAAAAACCATTAACTATTGTTGATTCGATTATTGTTTGAAACTGAACGGTCACAACAAACCAAAATAAATTCCTTTTTGATTATTTATATTGATTTGTGACCTCTTTCGCAGCTATTTATATGTTATTATGTTGTATGAAACATATACTTAGGCTGCTTGCAGACATTTGCATAAAAAATAACAGCAAGCAAAAAGAAAGTTTCAACTTTCCTTTTGCTTGCTGTTATTTTTAAACGCAAGTTTTTCAAGCCTCCAAATATAATTGGAGACTCTTGACGCTGGAGAAAAATATAAAGATTTGGCACAATTTCACAGAAGGGCGATTATTGCACTTCTGAAAACGAATAACACTGAAGAACAAATTTGTTAGCTGTATTTACACAAATACTTGATCTTACCTAATTCGTATCTGCGGATTTCAAATCTGAAACTATTTTTTACTCCTAAAGCTACAAATTTTTGAAATAGAATTTTTAGTCTATTTTTTGACAAAATGTACAAGTTTTATAACATTACATATGACAAGGAATCACGTAAATATTGCGACAAACTTCTACAGATGTTAGGGCAGATCATCAGGATTTAAAGTGCATAGGAAAACAACTATCCTCGGAAGAGTTTTCATACACAGCTAGGGGCGCTTCTCCCATTGTGGCGTGTTTAAAAGCACATGATGAAGTAGTTCATGATAGGGAAGCTCCCCTAGCATCGTATGATGATAATTCCGGGCGTGGGTTCCGGTATAGTTTTAATCCTGACGAAGACTCTCCTAGATTCTCCAAACTTCCCAAGAAGTTTGTCAAAACATTTACGAGACCCCCAGTTAAATATAAAGTTCTTAAACTTGTACATTTTGACAAAAAAGTAGGCTAAAATAACATTTAAAAAAAAAAAATTTTAAACTGAATCGGAGATTAGAACCGATTACAGATTTGAAATCAACGATACGAGAGTATCTACATTGTAAAATACTTCAGAAACTAATTTTGGCTCGACGAAAATGTTTCCAAAAATCTCAGAGAACTTCATTTAGTATCATGTTTGCTATCAATTGAGAAACATTTCTTTCATTTCAAAAGTAGAAATCTAATTCGCATGGACGCCCATTCAGTTTCAGAGTGTAGAGTAGTTACCGCTACAACTACTATTAAATTCGAATTCACTAGTTTGTAAAACATGTTAACTCGATTCTATTTTGGGATATCTTTTGATAGATGGCAGTTAACTATGTTGGTAGTCTAGACCCACAAGAGATTTGTGAAATATTAAGGAACGCTTCAAACTTTTAAGAAATGAAAAATAAGTTCCGAAACTGCAAAAAAAATGAATAAGAATATTTCTAAAGCACTGCATAATGTTTCTGAATATGCCGACCGGCCTGTGTAGGGGACAGGGAACTGTCCTTGCGTCAGAAAGGTTCTGAGTTCGAATCCCGGGCAAGGCATGGATGTTATTTCCTTCTCTGTACTATCTGTCCTCACTGCGGGAGCGACGTTGGCCCACCTAATATGGTGCCCCTGAAAGAGAGGTCAACAAAATCGCCCTGTAAATGCCTGAATTGGCGAATGTTAACACAGGTGAGCATTAGAGGGGGAAAAAATGCTTCTGAATATAACAGAAAGAGGTTTCCGAAATGTTCAGAAACGTTTTGAAAACTGCATACACCATAACTGCCCTCAGAAACGTTTCGAGGGTTTTTGTAATACTACTATGTAACATTTACGAAAAAAAAAAACTCTTACGCAACAGAACATTAGTACCTCTTTAAATAAAAAACTATATACATATATTTTACTATTGAAAAAAATTAATTCAAAATCACTTTTTTTTGCCTTCCAGATGCTGCAAACTATTTTCTACATTAATTACGAAGAAACGTGAACGATGACACCCTAAAACGTACCCCGAATGATACAAAATAATTCAAATAAGTCTGAATATCAGTTAAAAGTATGCCAAAACCATTCAAATATCAAAAAGGCGCCGTCACTTAACATGAAAGTTATGTTTTGGATGTGCTGGACGTTATTAATATTAATCAATTCAGAACAGTGTAACGCTCAAACAGAAGAAATGGAACTACTTGAAGCTGTTGGCAATCCTATATATAGTTTTGGATGGCCCAGTCGAATTCTAGGAGATGCAAAAGAACTGTCGGGTAAGTTTTATCTTTATTTAGTTTCTGTCGAGCAATCGACTTTTCGTTGCATTGCCTGAATAAATTTAATTCTTAAATTTTGAAATTAAATTCATATATATATATATANATATATATATTTAAACCAAGAATGATCAGTTCCTCTTTATCTACTTTCTTCATTTTATAACCATCATTAGTTTTTATTATGTAAACAGAATATTCATTCTCCATACCATCATGTCTAAATTGCCTGCATAATGTTAAGCACAACTTTCCTAACTACTTTAACTTTTTTATCCAGTCTATATTGCCTTTAAACAAATTAGCAATTTTCTTATTTACAGATTTTATTAAAACGGAAATTGCAGCTAAAACTAAAACAAACATCTAAAATTTGTGCTAAGCAAGCGTCTTTTCTCTCAAAATGCATAAATGTCTTTGATCAAACTGATGCGGAATGCTTGTGAACTGCAACTCTTGCGATTTAATTTATCGCGTGTGAACGGCCTTTTTTGTTTACCGTACTATCTAAACTAAACTATTATTTCGTTAATTAAACTGATTACTGTTGTGTTGTTCCCCATGGTTTGTATAATAACATTTGAAAATTGTTTCATCACATAGCAATCGAGCTTTCTTTATCATTTATCAGTAGTTATTTTTTCAATGTTGTTGCTGTTTGTAATGACACTTAAACAAGCCAAGCTCACCAGTGAATGGACTTACTTTCTCGATTTAAATCATGAAGGCGCGCCTTTCATTTTGACAAGAGAGCACCGCAAGCGTAAAAGTATGTCTTAGCTCAATACCCCATGAATAGTTCGTATATCCAGTGTAAGTGATGGGTCTCAGCGGGGTCGAATTCTCTAAACACTGTGCTACAACGGCGCTATATCTTCAGTAGAATTTATTGTTGTTTCTTCCTACAGATTGTGAAGCATTGGGCTTTCATAACGCTTCCAAGAATGAGTGTGGATACTGTACAGGTGGTGACACAAACCTTCCTAAAAACTATTCGGTAAACTGTAAAAAAGGCTGTGATATTAATATCCGAATAGATTGTAAAGGTGTGTGTGGTGGAAATGCTTACATTGACGAATGTTCTGGATTGTGTGTAGGTAAGTACAATACCATCTAATTATTTTAGCTACTCTATATAATAAATAATTTCATTTCTAATTAGCAGTTACAAAGAATTATAAGCTGCAACGCAAAAAAAGTTTTATTGTTTTTTATTGCTTTCAACTTTCTTATGGTCGGAAACACAAACACTCTAAAATTATGAGCATTCTACCTTCTTACACGGAGAAAAAATTCTGATGATTCCTTTACTGTATGGTAATGACATTTTGGTAAAAATAAATAAAACCATTCTTAAAAACCATAATCATAAAAAAACGATTTCTGAAAACCATATTTTATTCTTGATTTTACCAAAATCATTAGAAAAGTGCTTCTGCAAAAATTACTGAACTTTTTGATGCTCCCATAGAGCCAAAAACACGGTAAATTTTACCATATTCTGGTAGTTTCGACAACACTTTTTTTCCCTGCATTAAAAGAAAGATAATATGCAAAAATTCAATAGTGATAAGTCCAAAATAATGATAATACGTAGCAAGTTATATTAAACAGTTTTTTTAAATTGACAACACAAAAAGTCCTTTATCTGTTTCAGAAATATAGGCTTGAATTATTTAATGCATTGCAGAAAACTTTTTAAAACAAATTTTTTTCGTTACTTTCTAAATCATTGAAATATAAACTTTGCTGTAAGCATAATTGAAACCTTAACAAATCTGATATGTTTTTTTTTCTATAAGAGGAATACTAAATAATGCAAAAACATTAAAACAAAACTTCAGAACTAACACACTTTCATTTGTAGCATAATTAGATAAGTACAGTTTAAACTTTTCTGTAATATTTTATTACATATTTATATCATTCATAAGATACATTACATAAACATAAATGCAAGATATTAATAATTATTTCAGAAAAGTGGATATTTTAGTTTAGTTTAAGAAGAAAATGAGAACGTTCTGAGACTTTTCTGAAATTTTTATGCTGTAAAAGAAATTTCAGGGAAATATTTCTGGTGCTCAATGCTACTTTATATGCTGTGCCGGAACGAGGAAATTTGGTTAAAAATAATTGTGTCCGAGGGTGAACTGTATCCGTCCTCGTTAAACTGTCCTACCATAAGAAAGCTCGACTTCGCGCGTATGTCGTTGGGTTACCAAAGTGGACAAGCCATCTCCTCCGCAGAGGATTAAAATTGTGGATTATCCCAGGGACTAATAAGTGATGTTTCCCAGACCATCGCCAATAGCCAATTGTGCTATCCAGCTCCAGTGTGGCGTGAATAAACTACTACTTAGGCGCTTTTTCATTACACGACACGATACCGACAAAATCGGACGACAAATGTGTGAACGACAATGTCATTGCCGGATCGTTCAAGCAATTGTTTTTTCACTTGTCCGATATCGTTCGTCCGAGAAGTAGAAATTCTTGTTCATTCAATGTTTTGAGCTTGAATGAGCAGTTGCTTATGTTCTGTTGTGATTTTTTTCTGCAAACTTTAAATATGCCGGATAATAATCGTCGTCTCAAACTTCTTACTTTATTTTAGAAGAAATAAGCTAGCAGTGCAGAAATGTTTTTTGGGGCACGAAATGATACTTACGTATTAACGCCACCGCAGCAACAGATTTGGCGGTTTTTAAGTGTCGCCAATCTACACCTAAAATTTTTGCGACAAATCATGAAATAAAACACTCTATTTAAAATCTAAAAATTCGAAACACTTTATTTAAAATCAAAGTAGTCAATCGGATTTCGGTGGAAAGTGGGCCGATATAGAGTTTTACATATATTCAAAACAGTCTCTTTTCCTTCACCAGATGTTGTCGCCATCTGAACTCTGATAAAATGATGATTCCAAATGATGTCTCGCTGTTCCCCTATGTCTTTTGTTCCTCCATTTTGCACTGCCCCTTATTCTCTCAACTGTTTGTGTATTATGAACTCCTGTATCAGGATTAATAAAATGTATACAAATACCTACTTGCTAAGGTATTTGTATTTATGATAAACCTTAGCAAGTAGGAATCCTTCTATTCTCTTTGTTTGATAACCTTTCCAACTGTCGGAATAAATTGTGCTACCATCTAAGCCCCACTTGCTGATCA